ACTGTCATTGGGGCAAGCCTCTGGTGGTTACTGAAAATTCTTTGCTCCTGTGCGCCATTGTTCCACTGGGCGCTCGCACGCTGCCAGTGCCCGGTGCCGGCCCTAATTGCTCAGCGCACCATCAGCATGTGGGAGCGGCAGCAGAAGCGGGGCGGCCAGCAGACAGGGGACTTGGGGCCACGGCGGGAGGGGCCAGGCGGGAGCGCAGAGGATGAGCTGAGACCTTCCCCTGTGCCCACTGCAGCCTCACAGTCCACAGTTCCTTTCAAGGTGCACAAATTCGTGCACTGGGCCCCTAGTATCATTATAAGATGACAAGGATGGAGATTTGTTAAACCCAGGTTTGGCCCAGTAAAGTAATATTGCGCAGCCTCACAGTCCACAGTTCCTTTCAAGGTGCACAAATTCGTGCACTGGGCCCCTAGTATCATTATAAGATGACAAGGATGGAGATTTGTTAAACCCAGGTTTGGCCCAGTAAAGTAAAATTGCATTTGCACATTTCCTGACTTTAAGTCTGTGTGTCTAGCCTCATTCCCCTGGAACAGATCATGTGGGTTTCTAGTCTGTCCTGGGTCATTGTGTTGATACAGAGAAACTATGAAAGCAGTAGCTCAGAGCTGGGACAGGCTGGGGTCCAAAAGTAGAAGCCCGGATTCTAAGAACAGGACTTCCTCTTGGGTGCTGCTGGCTCTCTCCCTCCTCCTCCCCCAGGAATGCCCCTTCTCTCCCTCTGACCTGGTGGCAGCCCTCCTTCCTTTCCCCAGCACCCCCACCCCTGCCCCCTCAGGAGTCAGGCTCAGACACACACTCCTGTGCTCCCTGGCTCCTGCACTGTCACAAACCTGCAGCTCTTTGTTGTTCTCCACAGCCATGGGCCAGGAGTTTGTCTAGGACCAGAATGATGGCTTAAAAAATGTTTTTATTATGAAACTAGAGGCCCGATGCATGAAGATTCGTGCAAGAATGGGCCTTCCTTCCCCTGGCTGCCAGCATCGCCTTCACTCTGACCGAAGCCGCCTTTCCGCCTTTGCTCCGGCCCGGAGCTGTCTTTCCACCTTCCCACGCTGCCCAGAGTGTCCCGCCACACCCCCAGCGCTCAGTGCCTGCGTATGCAAATTAACCCGCCACCTTTGTTGGGTTAATTTGCATACTCACTCCTGATTGGCTGGTGGGCACCATGAAGGTACGGTCCATTTGCATCTTTCTCCTTTATTAGTGTAGATAGATAATACATGAAGTGCATTTATTGCCCGTGTGAACAATAATATAAACAAAGCCACTTTAAAATGGAGTCGAGGTGGCCACTTCAGAGGAATGCCTTGCACTTCTTACTCCTCAAACCTTTGAAATGTTAAAACTGGGCAAAACGGCCTTTGGACTGGGCCTGAGGTGGCATTGTATGCCAGACAACTGTTTGCTATGACGACTGGGCTGAAAATTAAGTGAGCATCACTATGTTAGCTTATCTGCACCTTTAGCACTGCCTTCTTCCTTCTCTTGATGTACTTGTGCCCTTTCCCTCTCTCATGAATCCCCCTGGCCTTGTGCCTCCTAATCGGGACCTATGTGGGTTTCTGCCTCAGTGCTTCACAAACAGCTATACTTTTGGATCTCAAATAAAGGCTTGTTGCCTCTCACTTTGGCCTTTTATTTTTATGTTAACACCTCAATGGGCATTTTTAAAAACTATAGTAAAATGAATTATCTCTAAAGCTCCCCAGTCCTTTTGCCTCCTGCACCCCTAGAGGTAGCTGCTTCCCTGAATGGGTTATTCATGCTCTTGCTTTTCTTGATAAGTACGACCTGGTTTTGACCTTTATAGAAATGGAACTTACACAGGCATTCTTATGAGACTTCCTTCTGATGGGGGTCTTTCACCCAAGATAATGTTTGTAAGACTCATCCACTTTGCTATAAGGTAGCGATGGCTCGTTTGTTTCCACCTCTTGGCAGAATTTTTGTCGTGTAAATTCTGCATCTTGGTTGACCTTTCCTGCTTTGATGGACATTTTGGTCGTGCTCCGTTTTATGCTTGTGGTGAACATTCTTGAACGCACCATGGGGCCTCACATAGAGGGATGTCTAGGGGTGGGGTTCAACCTTTCTAATAATGCCAACTTATTTTCCAAAAGCAAGGGACCCAGCCTACACTCCAACCAGCAGTGCCCCCAAGTTCCCATTGTCTCACAGTCTTACACTTGCCATGGTCAGACTTCAATCTTTCCGACCTGGAGGGTAGGAAATGGCACTCGTGGTGTTGTTAAGGAAGATGGCTGTTTCATTCCCTGATTCCCAGCACCTACCAGAGGACTACGCATGTGGGAAAGATCACAAGTCTTTTACTTGATGAATGAAGAGAAATAATGCAATGTGACAAGAACCATGACGGAGGAGAACATATCTGTAAATTGACTTCCTGTCCTTAGGTCTTCAAATCTAGTTGCACATCAGAATGACCAGATATCCTTCTTTCTCATTTTATTACAAAAAAAAATGTCCAACATACAGAAACGTTGGAAGAACTGTTACCATGAGTCCCCTGACCGAGAGCCTGCCACCAGCATTTTACTCCACTTGCTTTAGGGCGATTCTTGTGAACAACGCCAGTTCCCCAGCTGAATGCTGGTGCTGTAGCTCTAGGATGGGAGCAAAGAATCTATTTTTGTTTCCTCAGGTTTTTGTTTTTAAACTCCCCAGGTGACTCTGATGAGCAGCCAGCCTTGGAAACCAACCCCTGAAGGAACTCACCGCCATAAATAAAGAAGACAGATTTATAATTAGCCTAGCATTGCTCATTCTTTGTAAGGGGTGGGGGGGAGTTCTACCAGGTGCCTACAGCCATTTTCTTAGAGCCCCAGCGTCCCTGGGAATGTGCCACCCAGGGTCAGCCTTGTGGCCGTGTGGGGGCAGGTCCTTGTCCTGAGAAGCCAAGAAGGACCCAGCTCACAGGCACAGAGAGGAATGCGCCCTTCAAACCCAAGCCGGCTCCTTTCAACATTTGGGTGCTGTCATGGATGAACCATATCCCCCTGAATTCATATCTTGAAGTCCTAACCCTCAGGACCCCAGAATGTAACCATATTTGGAGATAAGGTCCTGAAAGAGGAAATTTGGTTAAAATGAGGTCACATGGTGGGCCCTCATCCTGCATGACCGGTGTCCTTACAAGAAGAGGAACTTGGACACAGACACACACAGAGTCTGGAAGCCCAAGGAGGGAAGACACAAGGAGTAGACAGCCAAGGAGAGCGGCCCCAGGAGAAAACACCTTAACCTGGGACTTGTAGCTGGCAGGACCAGGAGAAAATAAGTGTCTGCTGTTTAAGCTCCCCGCCTGTGGTCCTTGACTGCGGCAGCCCTGGCAAACTAATGCAGGCGTGAGGGAAAGACAGCAAGCCTAGAGTGGATGGCAGGCCAGGCACACCGCTCCCACCTCCCAGCTTCCTCCAAAACACGCCTCCATCCACACCTGGAGAAGGTGCACTGTGCCCAGGGCCCTGCCCATGGGGGCTGCTGCTAGGAAACAGAGACTCCTTTCCTGGCCCAGCTCTTCAGAGGGCTGGGCCCGGAAACACCAGGAGTGGCACCGTCTGCATAGACTGGGGTTTTCAGAGCCACCAGCAGGCTGCCGAGCGGCCCCTGAACACAGCACAGAGACAGGACATCAGTTGCAAGAGGACATAAGTTTCAAGTTTTGAGGCAAAGAGTTCCACAGGTCTCTCCCTCTCTCCCTATTTCTTCTTATCCTGAGATTGTAGCCCCCTCTTTGAAGATTACACTGTCTCCTGGGTCCCCTGGAGCCTTTGGTTTATGATCTTCCAGGTTGTACTCCACTCTTTTGGTTTTCAAGCTTTTTGTTCACCCTCTTCTGTTCTTCAATCCTGTTTTACTTCTCCCTGATTAAACAATTCTCCTCTTACTGTTTCACCATTGTAATTCAATTGTTCACTCTCCTAATTCCAACCTACCACCTTTAAATATTTCTTACCCGTTGGTCCTTCAAGCCCTATCTTCCTGATGAAGGAGGTAGGGGTGAGGGTAGGTAGTCATTTTAGAATTGGAGTCCCTACATTGAACAACATCGCTCGTTATGAAAGTTTGATCTGTCTGATCCAGTATCAAAGAACTGAGTGCAAAAGTGGCATTCATCCAGAGGTGGAAAGCTTCTCAAATGTGGACAAATGTGTCTTTTAACACTGTTATTCATCTGAAGCATTCCAGTTGCTGGAGATTGCTGTGGGGGAGGGGACAGATGAAAGTGCTTAGGCACACACTTTGAGTGGGAGCCAGGGAAGAGGGAACCCTAGAACGAAGAATGTGTGTGTAACAGGGGTTAACAACTGTATTTGAAGTAACAACAGATATTTAGAAAGACAAACAGAGCCAGGGATGACCTTGCCCATCAACAGGTTTGAAGATGCTCAGATGGTCTCTTTTCAGACCTGTTTCAAAAGGTCCCTCTATTGTCCCCTCTGCCAATACCCCAAATGTCTCCATCTGGTCCTCCATAGGTCCAGAATCTCCAAATTTTTTAAAATATATTTTATTGATTTTTTTACAGAGAGGAAGGGAGAGGGATAGAGAGTTAGACACATCAATGAGAAAGAAACATCGATCAGCTGCCTCCTGCACACCCCCCACCGGGGATGTGCCCGCAACCAAGGTACATGCCCTTGACCGGAATCGAACCTGGGACCCTTCAGTCCGGTCAGGGCAGAATCTCCAACTTTTGAGTTATTCCTCTGAGTAGGCTCTAAAAGTCCAAGTTAACTTGCAAATGTATCATCTAGTAGCCTCCTCAGGCATTGACACCTTGATGCTAATTGGCTTATCAGAGGGGGGGAGGTGGCCGGCTAGAGCTGAGCTCTTTTGCGGAGCCTTGTCAATCACTGACACCTTCATGCCAAGTGGGTTATCAGACTGGGCAGCACTGGGGCTGGTTTGCGGGCAGGGATGAGGCATAAGCAGCTTCAGAAGCGTGGAGGGAGCTGTTTGATGAGAAAGAGCCCACCCTGGTGGGGAGTCTCTGAGAAATACCAGTAGGTAACAACATAGGGGGCTCTGTGTGCTGGAGAACATCTACCTCCCACTTGACAGCTGAACATTTCTAGCAGCTAAGAGTGGAGGGAAGAGAGGCACTATCACTTTCAAAGACTGATCTCAGAGGAAGGCAAAGAAGGACAGGTTGCTCTTGGGAGAGAATATTTCCAGTGAGTTCTCATTCCAGACATTTTAGGTTACAACACCAAAGGTTCTCTCTCACTGATTCGCTGCACTACTGCAGCCCAACTCAGACTATTTAACATTCAAACCAAGCTTGTCTTTGCTCCCAATTGTAAAGCATTGGACTGAAATATGATGTAATGTGAACACACTCAGTCTTAACCAATGGATGCAAGGCCACACATCTAAATAGCTCTGTACTCGCCTTGCTCTGCACTACAAACGAGGGTGATTTGACAGGAGACGCATACAGGAACCCATACTGCACGACCCCCTTCTGAGGAGATAGAAGAGGGCTAGGCAGTCAGGGACAGGACCTTGGGGGTGGGGGTGGGGGAGTGAAGCACTGTAGACATGGGCAGAATGCAGCCTGCTGACCATGCCCTGTTCCAAGAAAAAACACAGAGACAGACAAAATGACCTAGAACTGAACCCGGCTGGGCAGGGAAGACTAAACCCAGCTAGGCGGGAATTACTAAGCCAACCCAACTGGGCGGGAAAAGAAGAGTGCATGAGCATGCGTGCTGGAGAAATAAGCTTTAAAATGTATGCATGTTGCTAAGGCAGAATTCTTTGAAAAAATCAATCAGAAGCCAGCAACGCATATATCTACCCCTAGACAAAGAAGCACACTTCCTTCTCTCTCGGGTGCACCGGGCTCCTGGCTCACCTGTGGCAGGGGATGTGCTCTCCGTGTCCACGTGGCTTATGGCCATGTGGGGCTCCACCTGTGGACAAATGGACTGTCATTAGCTTGGATGCTGAACTACACCCGACTGCGACATGGAAGGGAAGCTCTGGACACTAGCCTGCTCTGGCTCTCCCGGAACCCAGCTGCACCTTCCCCAGGACGGCTTAAGGGACAGAGACTTTGGAACCTGAGATCAAGAAGGTTCCTGGGCAACCCACTTGGGGTCCCCTCCCTGTGGCGGGGAGTCCGTCTACCCCTCAATACACTTTGCTGTGCTTACTGTCTTTGTCCGTGGACTCATTCTTCGATTTTGCGAGAGAACAAACTCGAACAACAGACACTTGGCATCACTTCCAAGGCCCTACACTTGATTTTGTGTTTGTAATTCTGAGTTCCTAAAAAAAGCCTTCCCCTCCCAAACTGCACTAAGCCTCTGGTGCCACCAAACCCGGGGTAACCCTCATGGGCAGCCTTGGCCACACTCAAGGAGCATGGAGCCAAGTGTGCTTGCATGACAGTTTCATTTTGATTAGCAAAAGCCAACTCCACCAGTTCTCCTGGGATTTCCCCACAAAGCTCGTGAAAGAGAGTTTGCTACCACAAAATATGTCTCCTTGGGGCAGTGGTTCTCAACCTTGGCTGCACATTAGAATCACCTGGGAATCTTTTTAAAATCCTGATTTCTGGGCCTCATCCTCCGGAAATTCTGATTCTTTGTTATGGGGTGGGGCCACAACATTAGTCACAAAGAAACAGAATTTCCGGAGGATGAGGCCCAGAAATCAGGATTTTAAAAAGATTCCCAGGTGATTCTAATGTGCAGCCAAGGTTGAGAAGCACTGCCTCTGGGTAAGGATCATTGTAGGCTGGTTAGCGTCAAGAAACAGCACACCTGGGAGAAGCTCTCAAAGCCAAGAAGTTCCTTTACTCTCCTAAGGGAAAGCCCATCTGCAGGGTGTTCCCCTCCGGCTCCCTGACCTGCTTTCACTATCAATGAAGAAGGCAGGAATTAAATCTGCATAACACTCATAGCTCAGTGCTGTTTACTGGGCTTTGCCTGATCACCCCTCATAACTGACTCTCCAGCCCCAACATCTTTTGTCTGTAGTTGAAGGAGGTATTTAAAAGTGATGGCTTCCACCATTCGACAGGTTACTCTGTGTTCCTGGGTCTCTCCCAGGCATACATGGTAAACAAATATTAAATTTTAATTTGTTTTTCTCCTGCTTATCTGTCTCTTGTTAACTTGATTATTAATCCAGCCAGAAGAACCTTGGAGAGTAGAAGATAATTTTCCCTTCCCGACACTAGCAACTTTATACTGTGGGCCATTTAAATGTCTTTTGCCAAGTTGTTTCTCTGTTTTCTTATCGCCTCTTCTCTTTCATATTCTAGACTATTCTATTTGGAAATGTATTGATACCTTCTTCCTCACCCCACCTAAGCTCATAGCAGGTTATAAATTGAGTCCTTTGATATGACACTAAATGTAGTATTTCTGAGGGAAATATTGCTGGGTGTTTTTTTTTCCCCCCAATTAGTATGACTCTTAGGATCCATGCTCAGGTTATATCTATTTGTAACTATTTTTTAAAGTAAATTGGCTTTTTAAAGTAAAATGACTTTTTTGGACCAGCCTAATTCACAGGGATGCCAGCATTCCAATTGTTTAATGACTGTCTCAAACACAAACACTATGGAAACTCAAATGACCCTATGAAAGGATGGCATACCATCTTTGGGGGAGGGGGATAAGTTGTGACACCTAGGGTTGTTGTTGTTTTTAAATAACAACACACGCTCGAAATCACACACAATCACACTGTCAGCCCTGAGTAGATGAGACAAGGCTGGCTTCACGTGAAGACCAGCTCGTTAGCATTTGGTAGTTTCAATAAGTTACCTTGCCTCTCCCCCATCGCAGTCATTCATTTTTATTCATAACGTGGTCCATTTAAAACAGCACCGATCAGTGGGAAACAGTTTGCCCTGCAGGTTTGAGCAGATACAATGTTAAACAGGGTCCTTCCCATTTAGGGCGAGAGGCTGAGCCGGTCCGCGCGGACCCACAGCACTTCCGGCTAACCCGATCACCCAAGCTTGCTTCATTCGGGAAGGCAACGTGGGTGGGAGCATTTGGGTGGCATACCCCAAAAACCACAGTAATTGGAATGGGGGGGGAGCAAATCTCAATTAGTGACCCCTCGGCCAGCTACCAATCTTGGTTTCTCAGGGACTCCACCTTGGTCTCCTCCGCGGCGGCGGCTGCCTGGGCACCCCCGACCGCAAGGACACGAATCCACATCCATCTTGGTGCCTTGGCCATTTCCCAGGGGAGGCTCTTGTTATCTGCCCGGCCTCCCCGGCTCTCTGCCTCCCTGTCAGCCGGTGGGTCTGCCGGCCCGAATGCTCCCAGCTTCTCAGGGTTCCGTGGGAACTCGGGCAGCAAAGGGCTTGAGAAGTGACAGGACCGGTGGTGTGGCTCCGCCCGGGCTCCGCGCACCCCGCGTTTCCCGGAGAGCAGGGGATGCTGCAATGAGCTTCCCTGCTCCCCCAGCACCCCTCATCCCCGGGGGTCGGGAAAGCGGCTAAATGTTAGCAAAGAACGTGTGTGCGGTGGAGGCGTACGA